GTGGGAGGAATAGTGCCCTATCATTGGTATCTGTGGTAGGAATAGTGCCCCATCATTGGTATCAGTGGGAGTAATAGTGCCCTATCATTGGTATTAGTGGGAGGAATAGTGCCCTATCATTGGTATTAGTGGGAGGAACAGTGCCCCATCATTGGTATCAGTGGTAGAAATAGTGCCCCATCATTGGTGTCAGTGGGAGGAATAGTACCCCATCATTGGTATAATTGGGAGGAATAGTACTCCATCATTGGTAACAGTGGGAGGAATAGTACTCCATCACTGTTATCAGTGGAAGGAATAGTGTCCCACTGTTAGTGTCAATGGGAGGAATAGTGCCCCATTACCTGTATTAGTTGGAGGAATAGTGCCCCATTGTTGATGTCAGTGGGAGGAATAGTGCCTCAGTGTTAGTACCAGTGAGAGGAATAGTGCCCCATTGTTGGTGTCAGTGGAAGGAATAGTGCCCCAATAGAGCATAGTGTTTCCAAATGCTTGCCTTTATGAAATCAACTTTAACAATCTATTTTTCTTCATCTTTGCTGCTTTAGACATTACTCTAAAGAGGTGTCAATGCAAAAATAAATTAAAACAAATTGTGTTTTACTGGTTTTCTCCTTACTCTTATGTCTTAGATCAGGGGTCTCCAAACTTTCTAAACAAAGGGCCAGTTTACTGTCCTTCAGATTTTAGGGGGGCCAGATTGGTCAGAGGGAGTTAACAATGCCTCAGGCTTGATGGTCAGTGGGAGTAGGAATAGTGCCCCATCATTGATGTCATTAGAAGGAATAGTACCCCATGGTCCATGTCAGTAGTAGGAATTCATCAGTGTCATTGGGAGGAATAGTACCCCATCATTGGTATCAGAGGGAGGAATAGTACCAGATCATTGGTGTCAGTGGGAGGAATAGTGCCCCATCATTGGTATCATTGGGAGGACTAGTACCCCATCATTGGTATCAGTGGGAGGAATAGTACTCCATCAGTGTTATAAGTGGAAGGAATAGTGCCCCACTGTTGGTGTCAATGGGAGGAATAATGCCCCAGCGTTGGTGTCAGTGAGAGGAATAGTGCCCCATTGTTGGTATCAGTGGAAGGAATAGTGCCCCATTGTTGGTGTCAGTGGAAGGAATAGTGCCCCATTGCTGGTGTCAGTGAAAAGAATAATGCACTGTTGTTGGAGTCAGTAGATGGAAAGGTGCCCCAAGGGCCGAATAAGAAGAAGCAAAGGGCCGCATCTAGCCCCCGGGCCACAGTTTGGAGACCAATGTCCTAGATAATGGTCCATAAGTGTTTTACTGTAAATACAGCCTAATTACTATCATAGATCCATTCAGCATGTTTACTACTCTGTTATTTTTCTTGACAGGGTCCTCCATTTGGTTTGACTAATACTAATGTGCATAGACCAAGATCACCCGGTAAGTTTTTATTCAGTACATAATATAAGGAAAACGCATGCAAATTTTATATTTTAGATTCTGTCTACAGAGCATATAAGCATCTCCATTACATCTCACAATGTAAATGTGCTTTTAAATGCTTACTAAATGCATTATGTTGGCTTACTACTAAGTTCACCTTAAAGGCAGAGATAGCATAAGAGTATTATTCTGTATAAGAATGAAATTCTCTTTGGCATAATCTGTATCTATATCTGAGGAATGTACTGTAACTATATATGGTATACCTATAATATTTGAAACAGAGTACTGTTTATATAAATGTACCTAAGATCTTCTGCTCCTACTTTTGCTGTCTTTGAAGTACTTGCAGGTACCAGATAGCGCATTTCAGGGAATAACAAAATCTTGTCTGAATGTTATTTTCCCCCTGAAATATTAGTCACAGAGATGTCTCCAGTGTGCCTCCTACTTCTTTCTGCAGAGGCTAAATATAAAAAGGTCACCCAAACTGTGTGTGTTTAAGACTCTGCCAAGAGATTCAGTTGTCTCTGGGGATCAGAATGTTCCTACACATCTGACTACAATCTAGTGTCTACCAATGCCTTAAGAGGCAGAAACGCAGTTTGCCTAATGTGAAACAAGCATATAAAAATATTAAAACTAATAGTACCTTTGAATTAGTGCCATAATAAAGAAAATAGAATTATTAGAACCTGATTACCAAGCCATGGGTACTGGCTGACACTACTGTTTAATGTCTGTTTAATCTAGTTCAAACACATTTCCACAGAGCTGAATAATTTTAAAGACCATTTTATTAATTTTAGTTTCCACTCCTCATGCTGCAAGGAGAACTGAGATGACGCCAAGGCAAGATGAATCTGTACTTCCAATGATTTGGATTTGGCTGGAGACCAACATAAGGTATGTTAGAGTGAACCTGTCACATCCATAAACCTTTACAATAAAAAGTCTTGTCTAAGAGCAATAAATTTGTTGCTTTAGTAAGTACAAAATCATCTGTCTACAGCTATGAATCCAGGTCTATAACTAAGGACCTGTACATATTTGCCTTGGGAGTGAAGCCTAATTCCAAGCTAATGTACTTACCAACGCCTTGAATAATGTATTCTAAATATACTTTTCTGGCAATCATCTACTTCTACAGGACGAGGGTGCGTTTCCTTACACACCAAAGTCCAACGGTATAAAACTTAAACTATATTGAGGACTTTTTATTAAAATGTAAATTCAACTGTGTTTGCTTGCACAGTTTAAGGGAGGGCCTAAGATTTGTAAAACACAAAAAGATTTATTGGTGGTCAGTAATGGTCATAAAATATGAAAAAGAAAAGCCTCCCATTATACTGGAAGAGGGGGGGGGGGGGGTGGAGTTTCTGTCAGGTAGTTTCACAGCCAGGTGATCATGGCCTTTTAAACCATAAAAGTGATAAGTAGTGTCCACCATATCTAGTAATGGCAATTTTGGTGCTCTCTACTATAACAATGGTACAAGACAAAATCTCTTGATGATATGTACATTAAACAATAGCGGCAAAGACTGAAATAAACTTCAAAATTTACTGAACTCCCTTTTTTATACAATTAAGGGTTCAAAATGTCTCGTGGCTGTAGAGTCTGTAAAAATCATTCCTTATACTTCCTGTACCTACTCCAACCTCACATACTGACCATTAGTAGTAAACTACTGCCATATATCTCAAGGTAGTCAAATTACCCTCCTCAATAAACCATGTGAAATGAAGTGCTCCCAAAGAAGAAAACTTGACATGTTTCACTCAAATATGAGCTTCATCAGGGGTGTCAAACTGAACTAAAGAGCACCAAACAAGAATAAAAAAAAATAAACAAATGGGGGGGGGGGGGGGGTCAAATTATCCCCACATGACACATAGTAAAATGAGAGCTTCCCCTTCTTTCCTTCTACTTGCAAGTATTTTCAAAGATGGTCATGCTAGCAGTGTGCTTACATCATCACGCACACTATGTGGTGACATCACAATGTCAATGACGTACTAACGTCATGGCACACGTGCATGTATGTTCCATAGTTTTCTTATTACTATCTTATGGAGGGGAGCAAGAAGACAGACTCCCAATGAATTATATTATTTCCAAGTTTTGACCTGTATACAAAGAGCGTCTAACTGACAGTCTTGAAAAAGAAGCTCTACACTGTTCTCTCAATATATTTGACTGTTTTTTATTTGCAACCATATATAATATTGTATGTTGCTACACATTCCAAATGGGCATTTAAATATTTACTATTATTTCAATATTTTTTCTTAAGCTTTCTCTTCTCCATTTATTTACAAACAGTACTGTATATACAAAGTATCTGAGAGAATTCAGAGAATACACTGCAAGGCTCACTGATTGTGTACAAATGGCAAATAAGTAAAGCCCTACTTTAGCCCATGTGGGGAATTTTGTTGTGGGTATGTAAGTACAAGCCTTACAATGGCCACATCTGAAACATCCCATAGCTTTCTCTGGTAGCCAGGTAGTGGTTGTATGTTGTATCGGGACTTTGTCAAGATGGCTATCCATCCAGTGGATCTTTCATATTCCTCCCTCTCTTGTGTGTACTCATGGGATTTTTTGGAAGGATTTTACAAAGATCCATATCATGCAAGATGTTCCAATATCTCCTAATGATGTTAAAGATCTGGCCAGATTGATTGGAATACATCCCAATGATTTGTGTACCCTCTTGGGTATCGATTTTTCTCTGTTTCTGCCCCAGGAGAGGTTGTTTAAGGCAGGGTTCAAAATTTCAAGTCCTGGGCTACTAGCCAGACCTTAAGAGTTACTCGCCACCAGTTGCCCCACCCAACTCTTACCCTGCCTCGTCCCTAATTCCGCCCCTAGACACGCCCTTGTAAATTATCTTATGAAATGACACTGTTACATGTTACCCACATTACATCAGGGTCCCCATAGTTCCCCCACTTTAAATTAGGGTCCCCAGAATTCCCTCACATTACATCAGTGTCCCCAGAGGCCTCCCACATTACATTGGGGCCTCCAATGTCCCCCTAAACACCCCATCATACTTAGACCATGCACCGTATACAACCATAACCCCCTATAATCTTTCACTCACAAAACCATAACTCTACCAAGCATATCCTACCTTGTCTCCAACTCAGCAGTACCTCAAGTGCCCCATACTCCAACACCCATAATAACCACATCATCCTAGACACATACACACACACAGGCACACAAACAGAAACATGAACAGACATCCACAGAGACACATGTACACACACAGACACATACACACACACACACATACAGACACACACATGTACATACACACCACAAAGACACAAGTACATGTACACACAGATGTACATACACACCACAGAGACACATGTACAAGCACAGACACATGTACATACACACACACACAGAAACATACACACATACACACACGTACATACACACACACAGATACATACATGCACAGGTACATGTACATACACACAGACACATGTACATACACACAGACACATACACACACATACACACACACAACACAGACACATATACATACAAACACACACATGTACATACACACACATACACACAGATACATACACACACACATACACACATGTAACACATCGCACATACACATAGATACATACACACAGACACAAGAACCTACACACAGACACATGTACATACACACACACACACACACACACACACACAGACACATGTACATACACACACACACACACACACACACACACACGTACACACACATATATACATACACACAGACACATGTACATACACATACACAGATACATACACACAGACACATGTACATACACACACACACACACAGGTACATACACACACAGTCCTTTAAATATTTGCATAACTTCCTTACCTTCACACACAGAGCCGGGTACTGCACTCTAGGGGAGGCAGAGAGCACAGCACACACTCCTTCCTTTGCTTTCACTGCGCTCAGCTAATGAGCAGTCTGATGGCTTCCAGTGCAAGTGACAGAGCCAGCCTCAGCTCTGAGCCTGCTCAGCAAGACGGCCCTGGGGGCACACTTGCCCCCACCATAATTTCCACTCGCCAATGCGAGTAGGCGAGTGCAAATTTCAAGGCCTGGTCTAAGGACATCCTTCACTTTTCCATAAGATTTTATAAGATCATGCATCTTGTAGCCCCTCCTTCTGAATTGTTCCACTAATGATGCACTCTCAGCCTGAAAGGCTGCTTCAGTGGGACAATTTATTTTCACCCCCATAAATTGCCCTGTTGGGGTGCCTCTCTTCAATGATGTAGGATGGTGGATATCCCAGTGAAGCAGGACATTGGTGGAAGTGGGCTTAGGATAAACTGTAGTGGTGATAGTTCCACTTGTATCTCTTGTAATTTTCAGATCCAGAAAAAGAATGCAGTCATATTGGATCTCATTGATAAAATACATACCAATATTTTTCAAATTCAAGCAGGCTACAAATTCTACAAAACTTTCCTTTGGGCCCTTCCACAAAATGAACACCTCATTTATAAAGCTAACCCATATAAGTATACGTGAAGTGAATTTTTCCATATTGTCAACAAATACCTGTGTCCGATCCCACCATCTCAAGAACAGATTTGCATATGTGGGTGCACATGCTGTGCCCATGGCAGTCCTTTTCCTTTGTTTGCATATTTTGCCATTATATAAAAGGAAGTAGTGTTCCAGTATAAATGTAATAAGTTCTAAAATGAACTTAGTATGTGCCTGGAACACCACCCCTCTGGCTTCCAAAAATAATTTACATGCCTACAGGCCAAGATGATGTCCAATATTACTGTAGAGGGACTCGATATCTAAACTTGCCAGCCAGATATCTTTACCCAAGACTATGTCCATAAGCCTATTGATGAAGTTACGTGTGTTCTCAATGTATGATGGTAATTCTTGGACAAATGGATGAATGATAAAATCTATATATTGGCTGGCACCCTCTGTTAGATTACAATTTCCTGATATGGTTGGATGGCTTGGTGGTTTTTCCTGATGTTTGCGCACTTTTGGGAGTGCATAAAAAGTCGCAATTGTGAGGTAGTTATAAATAATAAATGCTTAGTCATCCTTGGAGAGTATCTTTTATCCAGACCTACTTTCAGAATATTTCTTAGTTCTTTCAGGTATTCATAGGTTGGATCTTTTTGTAAGATTTCATTATTCTCCTCATTACTCAAGATGTCATAACACATCTTTAAGTAAGAAGGTCTCTCGATAAGGACAATATTGCCCCCCTTATCAGCTGGTTTGATTACCATGGATTTATTGTTGCACAATTCCTCTATTTCTCGCCATTCAGAAAGTGAAAGGTTGAACGGTTTTTGCTTACCACCTCTTTTTTACCAGAGTGTCTGTAAATCCCATTCAACCAGTTTAACAAATAACTGGAAAAAGCTTCCCTGGGGAAAAGGTGGAGTGCAATTGTTCTTTAATTTGAATGGGGAGAAGTGTCCCACTACCTCTGTCCCATCTCCCTCACATTCATTTTGACAAAGAGTCTAACATTCTCTTTTCAAGGCAAGTTTCCTGGCAAACAGGGTAATATCCTTTAGCCAGTCTGAACCTATGGAGGTATGCTGAGTTGCCCTTGTTACCAAGACCAATTATAAACTTTCCCATTTGCGAAATCGTGGGGGCCCCTATAAATTTCTTATGTTTTTTCATTTTAATAGACTCTTTATGTTGTTCAACTTGTCTTTGTCATTTTTCTTCAAGTGTTTTAAAATTTGGATGGTCTTTGAATTGGAGGATATTACTTTGTTCTACCTTTAGCTGTTTGTTTAACTCTTCAAACTGAGGTCTCTCAAAATCAAATAAATATTGCATCATCTTCAAGATATTCTCAGTTTGGAGTTTGTTTTAACCTGACATGAACTCAGGATTATCTGTATGGGAGTGTTTACTAATCATGATCCTAAGGCCACGGACTGTTATTTGTTTTTTAATGTACATCTCCAGACTGGCTTCTTCCAAGCTAATACTTGCTTATCTATCCGTCCACCCATTAAGAAATGAGGACATCTTTATTTGCTATAGAGGTACTGTAACTGAATAATGGACAGGTTTTGCTCCATGAGGACAGTGCTTACCCTCAAGTTAAAGAAGTCCAGGCATTAGTGGATCATCGGAAATCACTGGGGTGCACAAACACGGCTTTCCTTCATAAATATAACAGCAGGCACCACAATTTGTTTGCTGTAAGGTCTCAATTATTAAATATATATATAATTTACTGTACTTCAGGTAATTAAATAAAGTCCACTTTTTTATTTTACAGCTCAAGCTTACAATCTATCCTTCCACTAACTGTACCTGATGTGAACACCACTTGGGAGGCCACTGCTTTTGTTATTTCTGAAAATCTTGGACTGGGAGTAGCCGAAGTACCTGCTGAGGTGATTATTTTATGTACAGTTTCATGATGCTTTAATAAATAGGTCTCAGCTATCCAATTAACTATTCTTGCAGTATTTTTTAATAATCAGTGAATTGACTGTATACAGTGATGTCTCCAACCCAAAACTATCCTTTCTTGATGCATTTCACCACTCCTGGCTTGCTCACAGGGATAGGGAAATCAGCTTGGATTAGTTTGAACTGACCTGTTTACTAACAGGTTTACTTAAAAGTGATACTGACACTTGACAAAAAGTCTGAAGTGCAAGTGCTGTAGCTTGCAATTAATGCCATTACAACTGAATTGTGGATCATTATTATTGGGCAAGCTCTGGCACAGTAGTGCTGATGCTCCTGATCCTTGGTTGACTTCCTCCCACATGTTGTTCATAATATATCCCCCATGTATTTATTTCTTTTCATGTATTTTTGTTACTTAAAATTTACAGATATCAGTATTAAAGCCTTTTGTGGTTTCATTGAATATGCCTTATTCTGTTGTAAGAGGGGAACAGTTTATTCTGGAAGTTACCTTGAAAAATTCTTTAAGTGAAGACCTACAGGTATGTGATTCTCAATTATATTATTTCTTGATAAATATTTGCTTTAAACCTGTATGCCTAATCTTTGTTGAATGTACTTTCAAAATATATACATAAATAAATACCAAAATGTCCATACAGAGTGAATTATGAGACTTTGCATGCATATGGTAGATGGAAAGAATAAAAAGTGTGAAAAGAGAGATACAGAGCAGGTATATATGTTTTATAGCAGTTGTTGATGCAAATAGATCACTCAATCTGTTATTATTTCTAAAAAATAAATGTAAAACTTTACATGTTAATGGATTAACCTGGAAATGATAGAAATAGAACACTGGAATTGGAAAAGTAGGTGAGGCCTAAATCTCATGTTTCAGCTGTAAATGAAACCTGTCATAAAGTATGCTGACATGTTTCTGAAAATGCTAATTACCTGTCATACCAATCCTTTGCTTCAGTATACATACACAGGCAATGAAGTCAGTGTTAGATTGGAATTCTGACCTGCATATTTGTTCTCAGTCATCAACATAATACTCAGGAAACCTGCATTTTCAGAAGGAGATCAATTGCAACTTATTAATTTTTCTTATGAAGTTTCCTTACTTGAACCAATAAACATTAGGTAAATAATAACAAAATTCACATACATTTATAAAAGGAGAAGCCACACAAGCAACTTGTACATACCTGTTGTGGTTCATTTTAATATTTCAACCACGAGAAAACAAAGCTGTAAAATAAATATTTTTTAAAACACGCAAAAACCTATTCATTCTGAGTTTCCAGTCTGTATTGCATGGTGTTATAGAGCATAAGAGGCAAATATGAGTTGAAATGGATTGTTATTTTTTTGGAAATAATAAATATTTTTCATGTGTTAACAGGTTCTGGTGATTTTGGAAGATAGCACCTCCTTCAATATAATTGCACCTTATAATAACAATAATTCTACACCTATGGTAGCTGGCCAACATAAAGTAATAGTTCCCAGAGAAGATGGAACGACTGTTCTGTTTCCAATCGAGCCAAAGAAACTTGGTAACATCACCATCACAGTTAAAGCAGTATCAAAAATAGCCTCAGATGTTTTTAAGCCAGAGTATATTAGTGAAGGTAAATAACATCATGAATACAAATGAGAAATGTATTGTAAACTTCACGTTGAACTAAATACCTGTTTTTGCATACATATGTTCATATCAAATGCCTTGGTTTAAGTTGGTATCGCAAGCGTGAATATATTATAATATAAATTCTGAATGTACTAAATATATAGGTATGCATTCTTCATTATTCAGAAAATTATTTGTTTACAATAAGTTATTTTAACCTCTTTGGTCCACAACCAAAACTCTTCATGTGACCAGTTTTCGTGTGGCCCTCCCTCACCACATTGGTGTGGCTGTCTCTTACCTACCAGTCACTGCAGTGCACGGGAAAGCCTTGCTATGGGTTTGCACTGTTTATAGTAGCTAGACCATTAAATTAAAAGACCTTACCGATTATTGAAAACAGACTTCTGCCCCACCCCCTCTTTTTTTTCTTACTCCCCATCCCCGATTATCAGGTGGTTCATTATGTACATTTTCGATACTCAACCATCCAGAGGATCCAGAGTTGTCCAGTTTAGATCCTCTTGTTTTATGCCACCTCTTGGTCTCCTGCTGCCATATTGATGATTACATCATGAAGAGGCCTGCTGGCTCTTACTTGTTCCGCTTGAAAGCTTCCTGATGACACAGTGCTAGGCACCCCCCCCTTTCTTTCTGAATGAAGTCTTTGCCTCCTGGGATATGTGACGTGCATATCCCAGGAGGCAACGGTAGGACAGTACATATCATTCACCTAGGTCAGTGGACGGCAAGCCGCGGCTCGCGAGCCACATGCGGCTCTTTACACAATTTAATGCGGCTCTTCTGTGTGCCGGGCGCCCGCTCCCCTCCCTCCTCTCGGGCGCCCGGCACATTGGCTGTCAGGATGTAGGCGGGGCAGCGTGACGAACTCCTCTCACAGTCCGCCCTGAAGACCGGAACGGCGCGGGAACACGGCGAGAGGAACGCGCGGAGCAAAGGTAAGTGAATTGACACAATATGGGGAATGAATTACTATATGGGGGATGAATTACTATAGGGGGGATGAATTACTATGGGGG